TGCAAATATAGCAAAGGGCAAATTTTGTTTGATCCTTATTTAATTTTTTTTGATCCTCGGGTTCTAATTTTTTTTGATCCTTATCATTTTTTTTGATCCTTCACCCCGATTCTTATGCGGGTGTTTGTTGCGGCCTCGGCGAATTGAAACGCATAGAGAGCCTGTTCGACCTCCTGATGTGGGTCCGGTTGATTTCGCGTTGGGGAGACGGTCTTGCGGTGGTTCTCATTACAACGCGAAGGTGCGTTGCGGTCATGTTGCAGCGCTTCGATTAGTTCCTTCCCGCTGAGGTCTTTCATCAAAATCTTCAACAATGCGTTTCTCAACACCATTGAGAGGGTGGCGCTCCCAGAGATTACACCCTTGGCGCGGGAATGAGCTCCACATGTCTGCACCTTTCAGCTTCTCCTGTTGGAGCAGTGATGGATGCGGCAATTACGGCTCACAACTGACCACTTGGATCTCGAAGCGTGAAAGACCACAGCGCCCCAAAAGAGAGTGAACAGCGAGGGCAGGTGGCGGTATGCTGTCCAGAGAGGAAGCTCAAAGTTCTCTGCATTTTGCTTGTCGTTTTTCACAAGCTGCGCACTTCTGCGAGGTTCGAGAACCTCACTTGCTGAACGTTCTGGCAAATCTGCGAAATTTCGCAGCCAGAGTTCCTTACAAATACCGTGGCAGCATCGAGAAGGCCTGTACGGCTGGTTTATCCTTCTGCGTTTTGCGTTTGCAGTTGAAATCCCCCTGCTGTGAATGATGCAGGCGCTGAAAACAGAAGGCGGTGTGGGAAGCATGCATAGGCCGCGTAGGGGCATCCTTCAGCGAGGGTATCCTGGCGCAGGCTTCTTGTCCTTCTTGCTCTCCCGGGCTGCAGTGAGCCTGCTCTGTGCAAAGGCCCGAACTCAGAGCAATGCTCAGGGAATCCGCATGAGCTTGCTGCCAGGCCACGCTCCATCCCCAGTCGGAGTCCAAGATCTCCAAGGAGCACGAAGAGCTGGCGACGGTGGTCGAGGACTGCGACCGAGAGCGCAAGTCGCTGCTAGACTTTTGGGGGGCTCCGGCTCTAGGAGCTCTACATCGCAGCGATGCTCCATGCAGAGGACCTTTTCCCGCTTTGAAACCTCACAGCTCTGTGCCGAAGTGCTGGCCAGGACCAGTGGGATCTGGAGCTCAAAGCTGATGGCAAGACCTTCATGGCCTGGGGCTTGATGCGGAGAGCGCTGCTTGCATTCCCACTCTTTCCAGGGACAGAACTCATCTACTAGTATCCTGCCATATGCTGCGCAGGGCGGTGATGAGACTGCTCCGCATTGCGTCTTATTCCTGGATTAACGAAGCAAGAAATCTGGCGAACTCAGACTGGCAGCATGTCGTCGGCAAGCAGAGCTTGTTTTCATCGAACCACGAACAACTTTCCCTCACAACATTCTATTGCATGCAAATATTGCGAAGTCAAGCTCACCTTTGCTGCTTGCACCCGCAACCACTGAACACACGAGGAAGTGCTTTTGGCATTTGCAAGGAACCGACTTCGCGCAAACACATGGAAAACGAAGGGCCGTGCGTGGAAAAGACACTGGGTAAGCAACTTTGACATGAGGCAGGGTCCGCGGAAAGGCGGCAGGTTGTCCGGAGATTCTCCAATCATCTCCAATCTGATTCTGTCGGAGCAGCTTTCAATGCGTGTAAGAGAGCCGGGTGATTCTACAAACAGCCATAGGCATTGTCCAGATGAGGCTGTGGCCACCTCTTTCGTGAAGCATCTCGCGGATCCGGCACCACTGAAGGCACCTAACATCCAGGTGGGGGCTGTGCGGCGGAAGGGTTCGGAAACCTCAGTTGCTGGTTTGGCCTCTCTTTAGGCCGCACTACTGGGCCTGGATGCCAACCCGCTGATTTGGACCCGGCCTGGAGCCTCAGCCGGCGTGTCGAGCCCGATTCCGGTCGAGTGCTCTCGAGGTATGGTCTCGACCTGCTCGGAATTTCGCTTGACCTCTCCCTCGGAGGCTCCGAGGTCAGGGTCCGTAGCTCTCAACGGCCGTGTGACTCTTCGCCTTCGGTGGTCTTGTTGTACTCAGAGCACTTGCCAGGGCTCCACACCACAAGCGGCAGATCGACGCAAGGCTCACCATGCGCGAGATTTAGGATCAGGATCTGGCAGGAGCTGAGGTGGGTTTTTCGTGCTAGCACCATTGCCACACGCGTCCCTGCCAACATTCTTCGGCTTCGCGATGTTCGAGCATGGTTATGATTGCGATCACGATGAGCATGATGAAGATGATGCCGATGGCGATGTCTGTGATAATCCATGTATCGTCGTCGTTGTATAGTTGCCTTGTTCTGTATCATAAACGATCATGAAGGCCTGCAGACAGCGCTCGGTCAAAGATGGTAGGATTCAGCAGGTGTCGCTGCTGGGAGGGGACTCGCTCTATGCCACGGCCCAGTGGGCCATGGCCAAGCTTCACTCCCGACAGTTTCGCGGCCCAGTGAACACCGGGACTTTTTTGTCACATCCGTCACATTGTCGGTGCTGATCCGAGGTGCCGAAAGCTCATCGCTCAGACCATCGCGTCGTGCTCCTTTCTTCCTGTCTTTCTTCGGCCTTCTCTGGGCCGGCCTTGCCGGCCTTGTCGCGCGCGCGCGCGTGCGCGTGGCCGGGAGGTACAGCGATGGCCAGCTCCGAAAGCGGGAGCTGCTCTGGCCCGGGCCTGAAGCGTCTCCCGAGGCCCGCTTTCTTTGGGCCTGCCTGAGCCTCTTGCAGGAACCTGGACCTCACGGTAAAGGAGTACCTGGAAATCGAGCAGGTGGCTGGCGTGGCAGCGTTCACGCCTCGGGGATGGTGCAGTCACGTGCAGTCTTAGCAATTCTCGGCTGCAGTTTTGGCCTTGGGCCTTCGGAGGTTTTTCGGAGCGTCGACGGCCTGCGCGGCCTTCGTGAACAACGTGAGCGACGAGATCGCACAACAGATGGCCGAGCAGCCTGCCTTTGTTGAGCGTCGAGTCTTTGCGCTTGGACTGCGCTTCCGCCTTCCGCCCCGGGCTCGACGAGGTTCGGGTCCGACATCGGGCTGGTGGTTGGGCTGCTGAAGGACGTGCGGACAGTGGGAATGCGCAGTCCGCGCCCCGGGATCTGACAGCTCTGCGGGTGTGTGCACTTTGTCCGCGCACGGCCTCGGCAACTCTGTCGGGACGCCAAGGTGCACTTAAGCTCGGGCGGATCTCGGCACCAATCATCTTCGCCATGCAGCAGGATTGGAGCCGATTGTGCAGGTTGGATAAGGTGCGGGTGGTGGTAGGCCCCACGGTCGCAGGACGCGCGGCTGCGGGAGCTGCTCGCTCGCCGCCTCAGTGAGGGCGCCTCCGACTTTGAAGAAGCCCTTCGCCGGGTCAAGGACGCCGCCTGCTTCCCTCGAATCTCGCTCCCTCGCACTTTGCTCAGGAGGGAGGGATGATGCCGACCATCCGTTTGGCTCCTTCCCCGGCATTAGACACCAGCAAAGGGGGCACCTCTCAGAATCGCCAGATGCTGTGAGGTGAACAAGCTGGGTTCCCGAGCGGCGGCTCGTCTGGAGTGCCTGGAGGAGCCGTCGCTGTAGAGGGCCTCTGGGGCCCCAGGACCCTTGGAGCTTCAGGTGATTGCCTCAGACCTTGCAGATGCAAAGTTGAGTCTGAGTGTCAGGAGAGCGAGGAGAAGGAGGCCAGTGGAGACATGCAGAGATCGCTGCGTTTCACTTCGCAGCTCCCCTGCGGTTCCCTGCGGGGCTGCCGGCTTCAGGCCTTGCTGACATTGGTTCGGGGCGTCTCCTGCCTGCCCTTGATGGAGCAAGCTGGATCCGAGGAGACGTTAAGCGCCACCGACCGCAACCGACTTCCAGGGCGGCTCCTGCCCGGCAGGCGGTAGATGACCTCACAGACACCGGGGATGCCACGGATGCCCAGAGCCGGATCTTCGACATGAAGGCGGTCTTCAGCCGCAGGGAAAGGATCCCTCGTGAGTCAAGCGGTCAGGTGGCGAACCTGCGTCTCCGTGCAGAGCTCCAGCGGATCCGCAGCTGCGAGCAGCGCTCACGTGACAGGCGGAGTGACACCAAAGCACAACTCATGCTTTGCATGCCTCTGCGGGATCTTGAAGCAAGTGATTAAATGCGGCAGTCAAGCTGATGCCGATAAAGGCTTTCACACTCCAGGAGGGCTTCCCTTCTCGTGGCAGTATGAGAGCACAGGGGAGCGGCCGACCAGAGGGTCGCTGTTTCCTCGCATCAGCCGATTCTCTCATGCTTTCGTCAGACTGCTGAGTACCAGAAAAGCGAAAAGCCAAAGACTTCTTCGAATGAAGACGTCACTGACACCACCAGCGTCGGCATCACCACCATCATCACCACCGCCAAAATCCCAATTTTCAGCTTTATCTCATTCCTCCTGCTCCATGTGCTTGCGCTCCTATTCTCCTCCACCCACTCGTTCAACCCCTCATTATTTTCGTCATGCGACTGTATCTTGGAGCCGTGCTGGGCGGGTAGCGGACGTTCGGAAGAAATTTCAGGCAAGGACGATCGTGTCCACAGCCTCGGCGACGTGTTTCTACTGGTCCATAGCCAGACTTGTGCTTTTGTCGAGCACGTCCCTGCGCGCAAGCATGCATGCCTGTGCATGCTTCTCGACATGCTAGGCCATGATAGGCAGGTTCATGAAAGTTTGAGGGTCCCCGGACTTGTGTTTTGTGGCATGGCCAGGTTGGACTCCATCCAACAGGTCGCACGTGGGGCCGAGCTGCGGGCACCCCTTCGCCTCCCCGGCTCTGGGTTCGTGGGCTCTTCTTCTTTGGCTTTCGGGTGATGAGTCACATATTTCGCACTTCGCAATGCACTTCTTCCAGGCCAGTTGTCCATGCGATTGTCAGAATTTACCAGCCTACCATTCAAGAGTGGGAGTGATTGTGCACAAGCCTGGTAGGTGTTTGTTTCTGGGTCGTTAACAGACTTACGAGACCTTTGAGCAAGGATCAGCCGTTCCGGGCGTGGCTAGGTTACTATTGACCACTATTGTTTTTGGGTGTTGTCTTCAGTGTTGTTCTTGTGCTGTTGCCTTCGGGGCCCCGCGGCCAGGGCCGGCGCCGAAAGGATTGGGCCTGGAGTTTGACTCGCAGGTGCGCAGACCAGGGGAGGAGTCTTCTAGAACAGGCAAAGAGTTGAACAACTCGCTTCGGGGAGGTATTGCCGACATGAATGTGATTCTAGAAATCCGGACTTCAAGCTGTAGCTGCAAAGGAGGAAGCTGCGGAGGCTTTTCTCAGGTCAACAAAAGCAGAAGTCAGCAAGAGAGAGTTGAGTAAGACGAATCAGGACATGATGAACATCTGCTCGACATTCCGTGAAGAAAACAGCAATAAGATGATGGTAGCAAGCAGCATAATGATGGTCATCATCATGACAACGAAGAAGGAATCGAAGAAATCGCGTAATGACGATCACGACTCGGTAGTGCTGCTGCTACTGCTGCTGCTGCTGCTGATGATGATGATGATTGATGATGATGATGATGACGACGACGACACAGGTACGTACATGAGAAAGGCGAGTACCGCCTACAGCAACAGATGACGAGACGACACCGATGTTTGTGTTGGTGTTGTTGGTGATGACGCAGAAGATACCACCGCGGTGCTGCTTGTCGAGAGTGCCTCTAATGGAAGCTGGGTCACAGCGCGGCTCTGCGGAGGAGATCGAGTGGCTGCTGATGCGCGGCTTGGA